AACATTGATCGTAATATTTCTGAAAATATTTCTAAAATAATGTACGTAGTACAAAATTATTTATTCCTGTATACAATACTATTGAGAAGAGACCTGTCATCCACCAGTGCTGTCATAAGGTCGGAGCAAATAGACTGTGAAATGTATTGTGGTTCCCCCTATTGCCGTTACTTAAAGCTATGATTTATACCTTTTAATTCATAGTATATTTTTTATTCCTAAGTTTGTTGAAAATACTTGTCTTCAGGGATATTTTTTTAGTTTGAAACATATTGCATGATGTCATAGGACAAAATTATTATTGTTTAGAAGGAGCTTAGTCAGGGCACCATCCCTGGCAGTTGCTTTATTTTTTTTCTAGGTGTAAGTGTTTATATATTGCTATAGTTAGGATCTGGGAAATAAATTGGGAAAAAATATATTTTTTGAAAGGTTGCTGCTAAAACTTTCGTATTTCACTTTTCCATTCCTTGTGACAAGACCTTTATTTGGTAAAATCATTTTTGGCTCAGGACATTCACCTTCGAGTATGACCTTCTTTTTTTATAAACTTTAACCTTGCCCATATTTTCTGAATGGTTGGTTCTTGGGCTATAATATTTCACATGTGAATTCCTTTCGACAGAACTTTTCTTTGGGTTTCATTTTTTTTAGCTCTTGACCTTGGAGTTTGACCTACATTTGAAAAACTTTAACCTTGGCTTTGAGTTGTCATAAGGGAGCATCAGTGTTTCATAGCGTTTCATAAACACATTTATTTTATTTTCTTCGTTTAGGAATGGTGTATCATGTTAACATATGTAGACTTCTATTTTTCTATTTTCAATTTTTTTTAATATTCACTTTCAGTCATATATTTGTTCGATATTCATTTTTTTAAATGCCGCTATATCCACGAGTTCTCTCTAAAATAACTCAAGATAGAATATATAATGATATTTTCTAGGAAAGAAGAAAAAACTCCTTGGCTTATGCATTATGCTTTTTTTACCCGACACTTCCGAAAATAACTTTTAAATTTAGTGATTTTAGGAAAAAAAACAACGATTTTTAATAAAGGATTATAGTAGTGATGCACATAAAAAATAGGGAAAGAATCCCCGAAAATACTTATTAAAAGGATCTGTTCATGAGTTCAAAAGTTTTTCTAACCATCTTCATTTCTGACTTCAATTGTCACGCTTTAACAGGCCGGAAGTATTTCCGAGTTGAAGCCGAAAAGTTTGTTATTTCAATAAAATGGATGTAATTTTATTCCCACATGAATGGCAACTGTGCGCATTTTTTTCTTTGTCCGTCCATTGAAGGGATTTAAATATATATATATGCACAGTAAAACTTGAGTATGAGCTTATCATAGCCCTATGTAAGGGTTTGGATATATTTGATACAGTCCACAGTCACAGAAGTAATGTATTTTTGAATTAAATAGTTATAATAAAGGTCCTGTTGTTTTCGATCAAACAAACTTCAGCCATTGAATTTATTCCAACTAACTTGTGGAAAACAACATTAAAAAGGAAAATCTAGAAGTGCAACACATGAAATAAAACCAAATTTGCAGATACTGGATTAGAACAATTTAAATGTAGGTTGAAGCTTTTAAGTTATATAAAACATGCTAAGTGTATTGAATGTCGGACACCTCGGCCCAACAACACCTCGGCCCATTGACATCTCGGCCCATTGACACCTCGACTCAGACAATTCGGCCCATCTATAAGACACCTCGGCCCAAGCAAAATTCCATTTGGAAATATATTAACATACATTTCTAATTTGCAACTTGAATAAAAAAAATCACTGAAAAAAACTATATGAATAAACGATCAAGATTTTTTTTTGGCAATTTTAATAATCAAGGAGAGAGAATACAATTAATTAAAGTGCTAACTGATAAACAAACAAGGTACTGCGGTTTATCCTTCGGAGTCTCAAGTGCGTGTCATATTTCGGTGACAATAAAGGGTTAATTACTGTTATTACGAGCAGCCTTAATTGCAAGACAGTAAATAAGACATTTACGTCCGCTGAATATTTCTTCATTTCTTAAGAAAACATTTTCATTCATAAATTCATGAATGTCGCTAAAGTAATTTATAGAGCCTGTTCTTCCAGGCTACCTGAAACAAAGTGATCTTTTCAATATCAACAGATTTTTGAAACATACAATGACGTACAGATCAATACTACAAATATTATTTTAGGTAAATGAGAGTCATGTATATATTTTTCCTGTAGTCCATATATATATTTAATTCTTTTCACGGATTATCAACCCATTTCAAATGTTTCAGATCGTCAGAGAAACAATGTATACTGATACAGTACGATAAAATTCAATTCTTTTGATAAAAATAATCAAGGAATGAGAAGACATATAATAAGAGTGCTAACTGATAAACAAACAAAATGTCGCGGCGCATCCTTTGGAGTCTCAAGTGCGTGTCATACTGGTGACAATGAGGGGTTAATTACGAGGAGGCTTAATTATGAGACAGTACATTTACATCCATGCATTGAATATTTTCTCCTTTACGAGAGTTAATATTTTATCAAATATTTAACAGAACTTTTTAAATGTAGATTAAAAAAAATCATAAAAATCATAAAGGCTGCATCTGTTTATTATCGCATTAACCTCCAAGCAAAAAAAAAAAAAAAAAAAAAAAAAAAAAAAAAAAAAATCAAATTTAATCCATTTCTTGCACGAATCATTGACCTATCTCATACGTTTCAAATCGTCAGAGTAACAATGCAAAATGAAACGATCTAATATGCAATTCTTATAATAGGAATATATAAAATCGTAAGAAAAATAGCTAGTGTGTTGAAATATAGAATTACTTAGCATATATCTTGCGCATTTTTATGAGGCGCCGTTTTGGTATTTATTGCCATTTAGTAATATCACCTATTCAAATAGGTGATATCACCTATACGAATTGGTGATTTCACCTATTCGAATATGTGATATCACTCATTCTCATTCAAGGTCGAATTGAACAGGTGATATCACCTATTCGAATAGGTGATATCACCTGTTCGAATAGGTGATATCACTTATTCGAATAGGTGATATCACTTATTCGAATAGGTGACATCACCAATTGGAAATGAATACGTGATATCACCTATTCGTGCTGAATAGGTGATATCACCTATTCGAATAAGTGATATCACCTATTCGAATAGGTTACATGTATATCACCTATTCAATTTGAATAGGTGATACCACCAATTCGAATAGGTGATATCACCTATTTGCATTTCTTACAACAATAAATAATGAATGCTCCCTTCCTCAAGACTATTTAGATTTCCATTGGAACCAAGCAAATTCGGGCTGCTCTGTTTTCTCCAGTAACTGAGTACGAGACATTTTAAATATCTTATGTTATCGAACCTTGTAAAGTTATATAGATTTTATAAATCATACCAAGCTGGGGTACAACAGAGTGGCATATCTTTCTTTATTATGTAAAGTGGGGCATTTTCCGTATGGAACAGTTATTATCTTTATTTATTTTCACGATTTTTCCTATAGTCTACATTATAGATATGTGAAATAAATATAATTTGTGAGCAAAACAAACTACAAATTCTACTGGGAGGGCTTAAAACTAAATTCGAAGCTATAATCCATTGTCTCCAAGAACGGTAAGTTATAAAACGAAAGTGAAAGTAAATGAGAATTAAAGGCTAAAGTCTTGGGAGCAGTTGTTATTTCATAAATAATTTGAATGGGTGATATCACCTATTCGAATAAGTGATATCACCTATTCAAAATGATAACGTGATATCACATATTCGAATAGGTAATATCACTTATTTGAATTTGTGATATCACCTATTCAATTTGAATAGGTGATATCACCTATTCGAACAAGTGATATCACATATTCAAATCACCTATTCAAATCAAATAGGTGATATCAATTATTCGAATAGGTGATATCACCTATTCGAATAGGTGACATCACCTATTCACCTATTCAGAAGCTGAATATGTGATATCATTTATTTGAATAGGTGATATTACCTATTCGAATAGGTGATATCACTTTTTGGCAGTAAATTCCAAAACGGCGCCTCATACATTTTCCACAAGAGAGACGTGCAAGTTAAGGATTTATCTGATTTTAGTTATTTAGTTTTAGAAATGAACCAATTATCTATCAAAGACCCCCTTTTCAATTTGATTTTTGTGAAGAAAATCGTTTAATAGTCAGAAAGCACTGGCGAATTTAGAGGGGGGGGGGGCAGGGGGCCCGCCCCCTTTTGTGTCCAATATATATATAAGATTTAATAAATCACTTTTTTTGGTGTGGCCGTGGGCCCCTACCCAGACACAAAACTGGTCGGGCCCCGCCTTTTCAAGATTCCTGGATCCACCACTTAAAAGAATAATATTATATCTATAATAATATCAATTCAGACCCTAGATTAATTCTTTCTATCACAAAATTTTGCTTGGGCCGAGGTGTCTTGTATATGGGCTGACGTGTCAATGATCTTGGGCCGACCTGTCAGGGCCGAGGTGTCGTTCAGCCGATATGTCTGTCTACCAGTGTATTGTATGTGCAACTGAAAAAGAGAAATCGAATCAAACCCCCGAAAATCTAATATAGTTACTTAAAATGTTTGAATAGTCATAGTGCTTTCAGAGAAACCACATGCCGACATATAGGATTTTTTGATCTTCTTTAGTGTAATTTGATATTTTTTTTTTCATCGAACATATTTATTTTTCATCTTACCACTGAATTTACATTTTTGCTCACAAATTTTTGCAATGGACTATTTCCGTGTCAATTACATATGTGGACAGTGTTTGCATACTCATTCAAAACTATTTGGGCCCTTATTGGCCCGATAACACATTTTAATAAGGCCGTGAAAAATCCCCATTTGTGTCCTTTATAAAGGTATACACGTATGTTTTTTTTTTTTTTTTTTTTTTTTTTTTTTCTTTTTTTCGGGGACAGTACAAAACTCTATTTTATAAGGAAAAAAAAGTTTTATTTCTGCAATTTGAGTACAAAATACACTACTACAAAACATACTCTTCACTAAATTAAATTGTTTTTACCAGAGAATATTGTTGATCAATTGTAGGAATCTGTAAGAAAAAAACAGGAGTTTTCATAAATCAACATGCTTAACATTTTCATTTTACGCTTATGGCAAAACATATAAGAAGAAAAACAAAAAATTATACAATATCCTGAAAATATCACTCGTGAAAACATTAAAAATTTAAAAGTCTTACTTCAAGGATTCGAACGCTTGACTGCGGTAGCGGCGGTGGTATGTCCTCTGTTAAAAATAGCTTGGGCTCTATTACAAAGAGGTAACAAACATTCAGAAATTCATGCAGAATCATGAGTTAGATTTCACTCGTTAAATAGCAAATGAATAAAATGTATGCAAAGTAGTGTCTGAAAAAGTGCCTGGAAACACAATTCTTTTTTTTTTTTTTTTTTTTTTTTTTTTTTTTTTTTTTTTTAGCACAATTCTTTTGATGAAATAATAGTAATCAAGTTCAAAAGTCCATTGATGTGAAACAATGAACTATGAAGATCTTTAAAAGTTGATGCTCGTGTTATGTTTTAAAAATGTCTCTAGATGAATAAACACATTGACCTCTTTTCTTATTTTCTTTACTTACGAGTGACACAGGAATGGACACATGTGCTGAAAAACGGAAGTTGAGTCTCTGATCAACACGTGACATTCTTTCTCACACGCAACCTCGGTTTCATCTGAGCTAAGGGTGGCAACTAACTGATCAACAATGTGGGCTGTCTCCTGGGTATTCAGGAAAGCTGATTAAAAATATTGTTTTATTTATCAATAATAAATATGGACAGCCCAGTTTGTATTGTCTTTAAATTGAAAAATATTCACTAGCATTTCAATTTTTAAAATGTAATTAACATGACCTATCGACCAGTAAACGAAGAAAAGTTTTCCCAGCTATGTATGTGACAATACTGTATTATCGATTCAAATTTATCATGCAGGTAGTCATTTTTTTTAAACTTACTGTCCAAAACTAAGCGTTTGGCTGGTGGAGGGGTATTGTGATGTCCCATGTTAACAATAGCTTGAGCTCTGAAATAGATGATCTATCATGAAGAAATGAAGTCAAGGTAAATAAAGTACGTTATGCATTAAATATTTAGAGAAAAAAATCTCAAAAGTGCCTTTGTCTTACTATGCAATGGGAGAGAAAAGCAGCACTTTTTTAACATTATGTTACATTTACTACATCCTTGGAAGATAAATTTTGTTCTTTTAACTTACGAGTGACAGAGGAACGGACACATGTGCTGGAAAACGGAAGTTGAATCTCTGATCAACACGTGACATTCTTTTTCACACTGAGCCTCACTTTCGTCAGAGCCAAGGGTAGCGACCAACTGATCAACTAGATGGGCAGTTTCCTGGGTGTTCAAGAAATCTATAAATAGAGCAGGTTATATAAACTCAGAAGTAACGAAAAATGTCTAGTTTTTCTAATAAAGGACTTTAAATTTTGTTGTGTATTTTATTCAGATAAGTGTTAAAAAAGAATGAGAGAGAAAAGGATTTTGAGAAGTGAAACAGCTTACTGTCAAGGACCAGACGCTTTCCAGTAACAGTGGGATCTGTGTTAGGGCTATGTAAGTGCGCCAATGCAGTTTGAGCTCTAGAGGGAGTAAAGGTAATGACTATTAAGAAAAAAGATGCATTTTGAATGGACAAGGTGATTTGATATAATATTTGGCCCTAAGAATTAAAAAAAAAATAGGTAAACGCTGAATCAGATCCATCCTTACATAGAAAATAAATGTTGGATGTATCTTAGTTTAAAAAAAAAATAAACCAAAACATATTTTCGGAAAAATCTTTAAAAATTTATTTACAAGTATTTTTTTCGATTGGTTCGCATAATATCACCACTTTGAGAAACATCGATTTGAAAGCATTTTATATTAAAAAAAATTACGATGTTAATATTGTGTGGACTTTATTTTTTTTAAATGTATTCATGTGTGTACAGCATGCAGTAAAGTGTACATACATATAATAGACGTTGTATTGCTAGATCTATATATTGGTGGGCTGTTTTGCCCTAAGTTATATTTTGAATAAGCTATGTACCAAGCATAATATTGAGATTATAACTCATCAGGTATCGCTGAAAAGGCCTTGATAAAGTTATCACATCAATATAATGAAGATCTGATCTGTATTAATTCTTTACACATTGTTCGAATTTCGATACATTGGATCTATATTATATTGCATCTTACATGTACTTCAGCGTTCCCTGAACTAAATGAAAGTGATTAAATTTGTAAGTTAAGTGAATGAAAAAAAGTAGTAGTTCAGGTAGAAATACTGTATTTTCACCTTGTTAAATATATAGTTTTATTTTACATTTTATTTTCTGTAGCCCAATAATGCCCGCGTCAATATAATCATTTCAGACTGAATATTAACGAGTATATAATATAGGGTAATTAAACTTATATAACATTAATTGTGATTTGTTGACATATAATAAAAACGTCGCTGCAGTCAGAAAAGAATGCCAAATGAAGTTAATCAGGGGTCCCACGGCAACGTGTTGACTCAGGGCCGCTGACTTTGTTAGGAAGTGTCTACCACGAAGATGAATAAAATCAAAAATCTCTAAACATCGTTAAAAGACTGGTAGGACTATAGGTCTTCTATGTGCAGCCCTACGTGTAAACATATTCGCAATATCAAGCATTTGTAAAATCGTCCCTGTTCACAAACGTTGGGAAGATATATAGGTTAACATGCATAAAACATCGTCAAAACATGCTGGCTTCACGTGAAGGAAGAGGCTGCAAAATTGGGAAAAAATTATCAATTTACAACTGATAACTTTGCTGTTCGATATTTGTGAAACTGTTCAAACCAAAGAAAGAAAAGAAGTGTTCCACCTCCAGTTTCCCCCTGAAGGTTGTGTTTTGCTTCTGGACAGCGTAAATAAAATGTTATAATAGGTAAATACAGGTAAACTTATGTTAATCAAGCTATGGAATATTTGCAGAGAAGTAAACTATGGGTTCTGAATATAAAATGCAAAAAAAAAAAAAAAAAAAAAAGAAAAAAGAAAACAAACAAACAAACAAAAAAGAAAAGAAAAAAACAAACAAACAAACAAAACAAAACCAACCAAAACAAACAAAACAAAACCAGAAGTTTCTGTCGAGACTGTAGCTCTTCTGGTTTGTACTTATAACAATAAAGGAAGAGAAAAGTAGATCTTGGACTTGAAACTTTGCAACAGCAATAAATAAATATTAATCCTTGTTTTACTCTCTTTTTGTGGCAAGATGAATTGCAATCAGACTAAAAATGTAGGAATAGCCATTTAAAAGAATTTTAGAGAAATTTCGATTTTAGTTACCATGACAACATCATTCATCAAAATAAAAAAAAAGTCTACTTGCATGCCATGTTATATTAAAATCAGACCAAACTGAAGGCAAAGTAATGTTTTGAAAGTATATCAAAGATATTCAATGTATCTCAGTATAGTCTACTTGTGTGCCAAGTTATATTGAAATCAGACCAAAACTGTAGGAAGAGTAGCATTTTGAAAGTATTTCACAGAAATTTATATTTTTAGTAACCATGGCAACACCGTTCACCGAAATCAAAACCCGATACACAGAATAATGTAACTTAGTGTAGTCTAATTGTGTGCCAAGTTATATTGAAATCAGACCAAAACTGTAGGAGGAGAAGCATTTTGAATGTATTTCACAGAAATTTCTATTTTTAGTAACCATGGCAACACCGTTCATCGAAATCAAAAACATTTATACAGAATTATGTATCTTAGTGTTGTCTACTTGTGTGCCAAGTTATATTGAAATCAGACCAAAACTGTAAAAGGAGTAGCATTTTAAGAAATTGTTTACAGACAAACAGACAGCCCAGCTAGACAAACACACAGACAGACGGACGGACGACGGACACCTTACTATCGCATAAGCTCTTCTGGTCTCTGACCAGTAGAGCTAAAAACAGGAAGGCTGAAAATTGGCCGGCCAAAACTGATATACATGTACACCAAATTCATCGATTTTGTTACAGACATGCAATAAAGATCCTAGAAAAGGTTTAACGATCCTTTTTGTCTTTTACAAAATTCGGAAAGTTAAAATTGGTCAAGTTAATAACAACAAAAAAAAAAAAAAAAAAAAAAAAGAACCGTCTTAATGACTTTGATTGTGCCGATGCAGGGCGCGGGATATGACAGATAAACTTAAAATACACAATGCATATATACAGCGTTTCTTTCTTAAAATTCGAAAAAAAAATCAAACTTCAGATCATTCAAATTGATTTAAAGATTTTGTTTAATTATGAAATATTAATTTAGTAATTAATTTAGTAAGCATGATCTTTTTAGGCTATTACTTGCACAATGCAATGTACTTTTATGAAAATGAGATTTAATAAACGCGATGAAATATACAAATATGGTGGATTTATTATCGAAAAAGGCAACGTCAAAAAAAGCGGTATGTCATCGTAAACTATGCTACTTTTACATTAATATGAAACATTAATTAACGTTTGTACAAACATTTTATTGATAATTTAATGACACTGAAAGACTTTTGGGGAATATCATTTAATTTGGACACGAGGCTGAATTTGGCACCAAACGCACCTTGTCCTTTCATTCAAGAAAAAGAAATAGTTTGGTTTACTGGGTAAAATTCAAGGTCTAGGTATGACGTAAATTTGACTTACGAGTGACACAGGAAGGGACATAAATGTTGCAACACAGACTGTTGGTTTCTAATAAGAGTGTGACAATGTGATTCACATTTCACCTCGTTATCATCTGTAGCAAGTAGCTCCACCAATTGATCAACGAGATGTTTGGCCTCCTCGCCATTGAGAAAGGCTGAAAATTGATATATCATTCGTGTTTAAGGTTCTTTTTTCAGCCCATATAGGAAAAAAACAAGCATTCATTTGCAAGTGTAATGTTGAATATGTATATAAAAAATCTTCCTTTACACTGCGGTAAAGACACATTCTTGGGGCAATGAAAGTAGGATTTTTTTTAAATTAAGTTCATTTAATGATATTAAGTTGGATATTCCTCTTAAGATTGTAAGACAGATGTGCATAAATCAAACTCACTATCAAACACAAGGCGCTTCCCAGCATGAATTCCTGAAAGGGCTTGCTGGGCTCTACACAAGGAAAAGCATGACAGTTCTAAGATTGTAGCATTGTTAAATAAGTACTTTTTTTCAGGTGACACTGAGCTAGAGTACTGTAACTTTTTTCTATTAAAAAAAACGAAAGTCTTGTAATGAGTGATAATTGATGTAAATTGTTCATACAGCACTTTACTTACGCACGGCACATGAATGGGCACAGATGCTGTACTAAAGACTGCTGGTTAGCGATAAGGGTGTGGCATTCTTGTTCACATTTAGCCTCGTTGTCCTCAGTTGACAGGAATGTGACTAATTGATTGATTACATTTTGTGCCTCAGCACCGTTCAAAAACGCTGTTGAAAGATATCATAAATTCCGTTTGTTCACTATGAAGTCAATGATTCCTATACAAGCATGAATTAATTCTGTAAGAAATTGCAAAGAACAATCCTAGCTAAAGTTGATCCTTTAATATGTTTTTGCAGAAATCTTAGCTGGAGTGAAAGCTAACATTTTCAGAAAAAGCTTGTATGTTTATTACTGTACGTTCTATTTTACTCAAAACTTCTTTTTAAGGAAATCGTCAGTGTTGGTAATATTATACACTTATCCACTGGCTGTGAGTGGGATAGCTCTTTTATCAAACCCGCGACAGGAACTATTCCCCGAGGGCTTGCCCGAGGGGAATAGTTCCTGTCAAGGGTTTGATGAAAGAGCTATCCCACCCACAGCCAGTGGATGAACGTTTTATTATACTGATGTATATCATAATTTCTGAGGGTTGGACTTACCTGATACTACAGTTCGATAGTAAAAACATGAAAAAAAATAAAATTATAAAAGTTTTGAACAAGTATTTGGAATAAGATACCACTGCTAGAATGAGCTGAAATCCTGATGACGTCACAATGCTACTGAAGTCAGGATGACATCATAAGTCTATAGATTGATTACAGGAAATCAAAATTGGCGACAAAAATTGCATGAAAATTTTCCGAGGGGTGGATAGCAAAAACTATACCCCGGGGTATAGCTTTGCTATGTGTGGAAATTTTAAGACTATAAAGATAGTTATTTTACCTTCTTAACTTTATATATGAAACATTTTAACAGAAGTATAATAAATTAAAATATTACCTTCAAGTATGACTACGATCAAGATTAAGCTTGATTTTCTGACCCCATGATCATGAAACAGAGTCAGAACAAATAAGATTGATAACATCTGTTTGATGCTCATTAGCCATAAATGAGGCTCAAAATTTGCAAATAATACGACAGAGCAAAAAAAGAAAGCCGTTTTGCTTTGGATTGTGTGACAGCACCTACTTAAATCTAAAATATTGCATGATCCTGAGGCCTGACGAGAAACGCAATGAAATGTAAATCCAAGACCCTAATTCCGTTATAGCCGTGTCATTATTTATTTGCAAGCAGAGTTTGAGAAAAAAAAATAATGATTTCAAATCATTCAAATCTGTGTTGGCAAATTTAAGTAAAAGAGGTTAAATACATATAGCAAAGTGCATTGATTTAAGGAATAACTGTCTTTTTTTTTTTTTTTTTTTTTTTTTTTTTTTTTGGTTTCATGATGTGATCAATCGATTGGCTTGCGTGATAATTTGCATAAACGCCAAAGGCGTTTATGCATAAAATTATCACGCAAGCAAATCGATTGATCATCGTCATGAAATCAAAAAATCAGACAGATATTCCTTATATTTACATGTACATGCTCTTGATTCTGCAAATCCACGTGCTACAAGCAACGCTTCTGTCTTTATTTGTCCCGCCCCGCACGTGATTTTTTTTTCACCACGCCTATCGATGAACCAGTAGATTTATGTAGAAATAAAGTATTTTAATAATTTGAAATTTATTTTTGACAAAGACATTGGAAATGTAAATATTTAATGTTTGGCAGTGAATAAAACTCGACCCTAAAAGGGACACTGTCTGGATCAGAAAATTCAATTGTCGAAAATTCAAATAAAGGTTAATATAGTAAAACACGAAAATAATGCATAGGACCTATTTCACAAGTGACCACTATATCTTTAATAGGGTTAAATCATTTTCTTTTATCGATATTCTTTAAACTGTTTAAGTTTCACTACACGAATACTTGCTAGATACGAAATTTGCATGGTATATTTTTATGAATGACATGATGAATTTCTTGAACTTTAACATTTTTTTGGTCTAGAATCTTTCTTGATTTAATAAAAAAAGAATTACTTTAAAAAAAACAACAACAGAGAACTAGTTAACTTTTCCACAGTTATAAATTCAACGTAGACAGAATGGGAAAAGGAAAAGGAAATTTCTACTCACTATCAAAGAGAACTCTCTTTTGTGGAACTGAAAAATATGTATGATTGATATACTGATATGTTTATATGACATCACAAATTTTGTTCGATTGAATTTCATTTGTCAGCGAAAAAATACCTACCAGCTGCTCCAAAAACCACAGGAAGACAGAATATTATTAAAAACTTCATTGTTCCTAAATAGAAGAAAATTTTAATATATATATATAGTTTGAGATAAAATTTGTATGAGTGGTATGGGTGTTTTAAGCGTATTAGTTTGCCAACAAAGAATCATATTATTTTACATGTAAGTGTTTGGATATTTAACACTTTTTTTATACATTCAAATGCAATCATGATTTAATGCTGTAAATGTCCTCTATTGATGTTTATTGGAATATAGCTAAGACATAGTGAACATTACCTTCAAGTTCTCCAAATCAAATGAAAGACAAACCTTTCTTAAGGTCTTTTATGCATACTGTTAAACCATTGGTAGGTCATGTACTTTCTACGTGCAAGGCTATATCAGGTGACGAACTTCACGCAAGGTTATGTATTGATAAGAATACTTTTTTTAAGGAAATTTCCATTCATTTCGGATTTCTTCTACAATCCTGCAATATATGGAGGAGAGTTAAGTTAACAACGTTTTATTTGACCACTTCATAAGATTTGAAGCTTAATCATATAACATATGTAATGTACGATGCGATTATCAAAATATATGGTTGTAAATTGTTGAGATGAAAAATTTTGCTTCAGTAATGTATAACTAAAAATTGATCGTTAATGAGTTATAGATGAAAAACTTTTGCCCCACCTGAGCCCCTAGGTTGAGGGATCAGTCCCTATTTCTTGATATCAAATGAAAGGTCTTGAGATTTTGATGACTTTTTATTCAACATCTATTCAGAAATTTCTTTTGCGTTTTCGAGATATATATATATAATAGATATATTAAGGTGTCAGCCCTTCAAGTCCAAAACGAGGCCGATTTGCAAAAATTGAAATTGTGCATATTGTTTAGACCGTTATTTTGAGCATCTTTTAATTAATATAACTTATCAAAATATTTCCCCTTTTCGAGATATCAAGTGTCAAAGATTTAGCCTTTCAGACCCTTTGGCTCTTAATTAAAAAACATATAATCACGATTTTATTATATGTAGATATAGATTGTTAAGGTAAATATTTTTGCTTCCGTGATTGATAACAAAATTTTGATAATTAAAGAGTTACAGGTTACAGATCTTTTGTCCCTCTGACCCCTACTTTTGGCAAAAGTATTTCACATATGACTCTATCTCGTAAGAATGATCCATTGCTCATTGGAAAAATGAAGAGTCCTGCATCCGTCGCTTCAACAGTCAAACAAATTTCACATCCACAAGCAGTATACAAAATGGCCATTGAAGTAGAAAATAAGTATTTCTTGATAATATACTCAAAGGCAAAAGAAACGCAACATCCTATTTTAGTGTGAAATATAGATAGGATATAACTTTGTACCTAAAACGTAAGGACATCTTCATCTTTGGAAATTTCGGTTAAATAATTTTCAATCAATTGTCGGAAGTTAAGCTGGAGCCCGCTAAACAGAAATCAAAAATTGCATGTATAACAAAAAAAATTGGCAATAATTTTTGGTTTTAAGGGTTTGTATCTGTTCATCATAAGTAATGCACCAATATTCTTTCTTTTCCAGAAGCGATGCCAAGGCTTCCTGAAAATGACTTACATGTAAGTACGCATTTCCATTGCTCTACATGTATTTGGACATTTTCAAAATAAAGGTGATGAAGAGTTGCAGATGCAAATATGCACTACATCACGGCTTAACAAATTCATATCTACCATTAGCATGAATGACAGTCCATGAACCGGAAGTCCAAGGCTTGCTACACTGCGCTAGGTTCGAGAAAATTCTACCTCATTACCTGAAAAACAGGCCCTTAAAAATGTCAAAGGATATTTCGCTCGCTCAGATGTCGAGATTGATAAATCGAAGGCATCGTCGAAATGACGCTGCAATTGTTGTGCATGGCGGTCTGGTACGCTGTAAATGAATGGCGTGGAGAGGGTGTCTTGACAGTTATAAGTTACTTTCTAAAGTTAAATGATATTCATTCAATAGCTTTATCAAATTTCTGATGTTTTTAAATCGAATTTAACCTTACTGTATTCATTTTTGAAAATCATCTGATAAAAAATTCAAATATTTGTAGTGTACTGCTTGTTGTGTTTCTTTTGCGTGTCAGAATACTTAAGTATATTGTGAAGTTTATGATGAGAAGTTTTGAATAATGTTATTATTGTAAAAACAAATGATAATAATAATATCTTTGCACAGACACAATACCTTTTGGCAAAGTTATTTCACTTATGATTCTATTTATTAGAATTATCAAAGTCAGGCTTTGATGCTTTGGTCGTTACCGATTTGGACCAAACCAAAACACGTCATTTTGATTTGGTTTTACAACAACTAAATTTAGTCAGGTTGGAATGTATAATTCATTATATTTTTACAGACTTTCTTTGCAAGCACACTCAGCTTCACACAGAAACAGGAACAAAAACGAAATTTCTGAGATAGACGTAATGTAAATGCAATAAATCTGTGTACTTTAAATACATTATTGGAAAATTTACGGAAGCGTAACGCTGGCAAGTAAAATCATTTTGCTATGTCGTATATACGAGACATAAAGTAATTGAACAAAAGCAGCTCTGGATTGATTATTTTAACATTGATATTTCTACAATGTTTTAAACACTGGAGGATATTTGTAACAAAAATCCTATTGGATTACATTGTCGACTCTCTGTCTCGGTCAAATACTTTGAACCTGTGTATACTACATATTTCACAGAAAGCTTATACATTTTTTATTTAGACAAAAATTTAAAAAAAAATATATTAAAACATCTGTTTATTTGCAGAATGATTGTGTTGGATTTGATATGGAATTCGAGTAGAATTAACATTTCACTGTCGATTCTAGATACAACTGAAAATGCATTGAAATTTATGATGAGCCGTATTACTGTGAGAAATTTTGCAAAACCAAGAGGGAAAATGTATTTTTATAGTTAAAAAAGATAGTGTAATATGGCAATCGTATCTTAGTAGTAATTTGGACATTGGGAGATTATGATTTAAAAAAAAGGCAATGAAGCGGCTGCAGCCTTGCATGTTAGGATCTTTTCAGTATGTAGCAGTCTTGATTACCTTGGTTATCAATTTTTTTTTTTGTTATCAAACAATTTGATGCAAATAAAATCTAATTTGAAATTTGTTTAAAAAGACATTATGTTATATTTGAATACAAGCAATGAGGCGGCTGCAGCCTTGCGTGTTAGGATCTTTTCAGTGTGTAGCAGTCTCGGTTACTTTTCTAGTGATTAAGTATAAAATCTAAAATTTATAAAATACCACAGCTTGGTTAAAAATTTCTTTTGAAGAAAGAACTAAATTATATTGAATGAGGGGCGTTTCACTTCCCTTTGTTGGTATCTACACTGAACACTAATGCTTGTGTTTATACTATAATATTAACATACAGTCCCTGAAACGTTCTACTTTCCCACTTGAACGGTGAGCGAACGCTGAACGAACGGTGAACGAACGCTGAACGAACGCAGAGCGAACGGTGAGTGAACGATGTGTGAACGCTGAACGCAACTTGGTGAACGATGTGTGAACGGTGAACGGTGAGTGAACGCTGAACGCGAACGGAGCGCAAACGCGAACGCAAAGTGAACGGTGAACGAACGGTGAACGCAAGATGAACGATATATTCGGAATGCCTCTGATCTTTTCCTTGCATTGAAACTATTTTATTGTATTATATTTTCAGGTGCCAAATAAATAAATAAATAATAGATAAGTAAACCAATAAATGAAAGGATATTTAAGTCAATAAAATAAATTTTCAAAAATTGTCCTAAGAAAGACGATGCATGCACATAAAGTTTTTAATCACACGATTTTTATCGCATTAAAACATTGCAATTGTTATCGAACGCTGAAGTATAAAAGATATTTTTTTAGTTGGAAAATAAAAATGTTTATTCTTATTTGATAACAAATCAGAGAAAACTTCTGACTTATAGAATGAATTAAAGCGGTTGTAACATCCATTCATATATCTCCGTGTCAAGGCGATTTCGTGTAAATTAATGAAAAAAAAATTAATTACAAAGGTCAGTGGACGTTTTGCATTTATACGCTCGTATTTTAAATTTCTAATATAATAATATATTATGTGTCATTTCTATTTTTCATGATGATTTATTGAGCAGACTTTTACGTGTATATGTAGATGGCCGTGGTTATACTCGGACAAGATATTACAAAGATACATATTCATATTATTTGTTATAAATTCAATTTTCAGTACTTGATATTTAAGTAATTTGCCGTTATAGTTTATAGTAATATGCCGTTATAGTAGAGAGAGAGAGAGAGAGAGAGAGAGATTTCGTTTTAGCCCCCCCTCCTTTCAGGCTTCACTAAATGTTTGTACCTATATCAAACAAAAACTCTGATTTTTTTTTTTCTAAATATATCAGACAGTGAAAGTAACTTTTTTTAATCAACAAATCATATCCATTTGTTTGACAATTTTACTCGTTTTTATGTTCCTGCTTCGATTTCACACGAAGTCCACGTGCTTGTCCTGTCAATCAAAATCATTCGACACTGTGCAGGTGTGAAAGTTTCGTCACACCGAAGACGGAGTGCGAGTACTTCCAACAAGTTATAACATTTATTTTTATGATTTCTAGATTTGATTCCAACATTTGAATAATAAATGAATAAAATACATTGGGCATTAACACTTGAATTTGATACATACTCTCTGCCAATTTCAAATACCACCGCCGACACGTGTACATTTTGAACTACATAACTATTGTTCTGTGACTTTTTTTAGATGCATGTTTGTTTTGAGAACTGAAATTTTTGTTCTAAAAAGACCTTAACTTTCTTTAAAAAATGTTAATTAAAATATTCTGGAAATGCAGTACTGACTAAGTAACCGATTTAGGGGGAAAGGGGGGTATTAATCATATCGAATGGCAAACATATAAAGTTACGGTGAAGAGAGAATTCTTTTCTCTATAACTATAGACTTTACATATTATAGTAGAGAAAATTCTGTAGTGCAGTACATTTTAAATA